AGAAGCTCACAGTTAGTTACAGACGTAGCCTACATCCCATAAATCGGTAAGATTTCATAGGCCTACCGTGGGTAAACATATATAAAGAACAGTACAGTAAAGGTAATATAATTTTTTTCGAAGGCCTTGGAAAAGGTAATTTACAATCGAGTTTCCTCATTTATTTCGAAATATGACATACTTTATGAAAAGCAGTTCGGTTTCAGAAAAGGATATAGTACATCTATGGCCCTTATTGATCTTACTAGCAAAATTGTTAATGCATTTGAAAATCGCCATCTTGCGATTGGACTTTTTATAGATCTCTCCAAGGCTTTCGACACAATTGATCACAATATTCTCTTATTTAAATTATCTCACTATGGAATTCGTGGCCCCGCACTTACCCTTTTCAAAAGTTACCTCTCCAACCGGACCCAGTGTACTAAATATTCTACCTCTATATCAAATTACAGACCAATCACTTGTGGAGTTCCTCAAGGTTCTTTACTGGGTCCCCTCCTTTTCATTTTGTACATCAATGATATCCATCAATCTTCTAACTTACTTAATTTCTTCCTTTATGCTGATGACACCACTGTTTTTTATTTAGACCATGATATCCAATCATTATTTGATACTGTCAACTCCAATCTGATTCCCTTGTCCCAATACTTTGCTGCTAATAAACTTTCAATTAACCATAACAAATGTAACTTCATCTTGTTTGGGACCCCACAAAAGTTAAAATGTATTGATACCACTCCTTTTAAAATTTTTATCGATAATTATGACATACCCTCTGTTCAGTCAGCTAAGTTCTTAGGAGTTCATCTTGACAGTGGCCTATCATGGAAAAAACATATCCACGAAATTGAAAACAAAATTTCAAAAAGCCTTGGTATTATTTTTAGATTATCCCCATTTGAACCCACTTATATTGTTCGTATTCTTTACTGCTCTTTAATCCTTCCTTATTTGAGCTACTGCAACATTGTTTGGGGCAATACCTATTTATCCAATATTACCAGACTTCAAGTTCTCCAAAAAAAAAAAAAAAGCTATTAGACTTATATCTGGCGCTCCACCACGGTCTCACTCCTCTCCCCTGTTCTCCAAGTACCGAGTACAAATAAACTGCATCAGTATTCTTTTTTTTTTTTTTTTTATAGATTTGTGAAGCACCGTTATGGAGGCAAATACTGGATTTACTATTGTTGACCCGGAGCAACCTGTGACCAAAACGGTAACGTTCATGCTTCGCAAACCCGTTAGGAGGGGCAAGGTAAAATCCACCGCCATAACCCAAATTGTTTGTGGCTCTTGTTGCCTCTGTACGGGAATCTGGCTACTTATACAAACTTTAAATCTTGATCGTTTTGTAAACTACGCTCTAATTACTTTAAGTGCATGTGTAAGTATCATTTAAGTCATATTTTAATTTTGTTGCTATTTTTTATTCTCATGGACCAGGGTTCACAAAGGGGTGGTGCCAGTGGAGCCTTTCCGTTGGGAGAAGCTGGCCTAACTACAAATTGTCAGGAAAAAAAAAACAATACCGTATAGGTGTTTTCTACATACTAGTAGACTATCTATAAATCGATTAAATAAGTCTTTAAAACCCCTAAATTGTCATTTTTAGGCCCGACTACGTCCACTTTGCTCTCGTCGGGGCCACCCTTCGGAGACCTCGTTTCCCCTTCGCCATTGTCAGCCAAATCCTGGCGCCACCCTTGTTTACCCAATATTCATACGATTTTTTGTTTATAAGGCCTTAATATTTATAATATTTGCAGTCATGCAAATCATTAATTATCCAGGGGCGGATCCAGAGATGTAAAAAAAAGGGGGGAGGGGTGGGGCGAAAGTTGGGCCGACAAGACAACACCATCATAGGGGTCCGGGGGCATTCTTGTGTTCTAGACGCCCGAAAATAACATTTGAGGCGTTCTGGGCTATCATTTCCTTTTCTTTTTCTTTCTTTTTTCGCCTCCCCCACCCCCTAAATCCTTCCCTGTTACCAGCTTTGCCAATATATTTTGAAGAATTTCTTTTAGTTTTTAGTTGAATTAATATACTGTACTTGGTTCTTTAATATATAGACTAAAAGTTTTGAAACTTACAATGACAGTTTCGGTCGCTAACAGCTACCATTATCAAATGACTGGAATGCATATCATGCCTGATCTGATGTAATCAGGGGCCCTCCTAGTGTGGTTGCGGGGCCGGATTAGTGAGAAAGTTGATGTGCATCCTCTTCTCTGTTCATGTTGTTTTCTTTCTTCCTGATCCATATGGATTTTTAATCCTTCTACTTTGGGCCCTGAGGTGTTTCCAAACTGGAATTTGATTATGTTTTACCATTATGACATGTCCTGTGACGGCCGATTTAAAACTGTCCTCTGAGACCGAACCCCTCACGTCTGTGCTCTCTTTAATATTTTCTTCAACCTCTTTACAATGTTCACCTAGGCGGACGTTAAACTTTTTACCGGTCTCTCCAATGTAAATTGTGTCACTATTAGCACATCCTACTTGATAGATAACTCCACTGGTGTTGCTATAGGGATCTTATCTTTCGGGGGTGGATCATTGGCTTCTCAACATTAGGGACACCCAATACCTATACTGTAAAGCAAGATAAAAGAGAGTATGAAACTAATAAATTAATAGCAAAATAAATAAATTAAGATAAAGTTGACAAAATAATCAAACGGAAATAAGTATTATATATACAAAAAAAATCAATCATATCATTTTTAATTTAGGCCCTTGAAAATGAAGAAAATCAACATAAAAACTAAATACGAACAATTGAAGAAAAAATTAAATGAAATTACAATAAGAGAAATATGAAAATAGCTTTTGAGGGATAATTTAAAGAAGGAGTAAGTAGAAAGGAAATATTATTTTTTCTGTCCGACTTTCGGCAGAAAATGTTACAAGAGTCTTATTTCAGCTTCAGCACATATTTAGGCCTATTTGAATTTACTTTCCATAAAAAATGATATCGGTGGAATTAAAAACTAGTATTTATGTTAAATGTTATCAATTTGTTTTATATCCTTTTTCTTACACCGTAAGCTGTACATTCCATCTGGAGTAATCGGTCTGCTAGCAGCCTCCAACAATAACATATCCACAGTAAGTTATTTTTGTTCTCATTTCTTGACGTTTAACAGGCAGGCTACAATAGCTTTATATGGACATAAACATGTAGAAGGGCCACATGGTATATGTAAATCATATATATTAGTGTGCATAAGATATATATATATATATATAAATATATATATATATATATACCAGTTATAGTTTAAATGTCAAAAAATCTCATTTTTTAAACAAAAAAAAATCATGTTTTCCCTTTGGAAAATACCACACAGTGAACACAATGTGAAAAACTATGTGTTCACATAGTGTACACATACTGCACCACAGTGTGTGCACTGTGTGTTCGCAGTGTGTACACTGTGTGTTTACAGTGTGTACACTGTGTGAATAACTCATTGACTATATGAAATTGGTGAGGTTTTCACACTGTGAACTGTGTGAAACACAGTGTGTACACACAGTCACCACACAATAAACACAATGTCACCATAGTGTAGCCACACAATTAACACACTGTCCCCACACAGTGAACATAGTGTTTCCATAGTGTCACCACACAATAAACACAGTGTGTTTACAGTGTGTTCACTCTGTGGACTATGTGAAATTGGTGAGGTTTTCATTGTCCCTATAGAGTAAACATAGTGTCACCCCACAATAAACACAGTGTGTTTACTCTGTTGACTATGTGAAATTGGTGAGGTTTTCACAGTAAACACATTGTTGTCATATCTTGCCAACATACAGTAAACACAGTGTTAACACATAATATTATTGACTATGTGTTATTTGTGAAGTTTACACTAAACTGTTTGTTCTACAGAGATTCAGTGTCACCACGCAGTAAAACCATCACATGCACAATCTCAAAGTTCTCACCTTCATCCTGCAAGACACAACAAAAATAAAATATTAACAGTTTTAAAATTGATAAAATAAACATTTATTAAACTAACTTTTAAATACATATATAAGCACTTTCATAAGATTATTGCATAATAGTATGACGAATTATGTATTTGTTATAACATTTTTAAGTTTAAAACATACATTAGTCAAATGTATACAGTAACTGCTTCACACTAAAGGTATTGTTTTGCTTAAAATTAGTCAAGGATTTTAATAGTTAAGTTAATGTAGCAATGAGTTTACAATTGTTTAAATTATTTTTATTGCATATAGACGAACAGTTACTTAAAGCATGCTGCAGCTCATCTGTAGGATATGAAATAAACTTTAAAAAAATCTAATTACAACACTTTGCTAAGTTACCTTTAGCAAAGATAATTACAATTACAATTTAAAATTAAAAAATTACTGCACATTAAGCGCCTGTTGTTAAACATTAGCTGCTGTATCCATTCTCTTTGACATGGAGCGCCTTGTATCTTCACATATTTTAGTCATCTTGGTTTTTACAGCTGCTGACTGGATATCTAGGTATTCTGAAATTATATAAAAAAATATTGTCACAAAACTTCCAAAATATGAAAAGTAGGCCTATCTATCTAAATGAGAATTACATTGTTCTTATAAATTTCTAGGTTCGAGTAGAACTGTATATGCAGCAATAATTTTGAAATTGACATGTTCGAAAGACAATTAGATTCATAAATTGTGAACTTTAATTGCTAAACCCGGAGTACACCATGAGACTCATGTCAGCATGACAACACAAACTTGAGTAGTGACATGTAATAGCAAGTATCACGCAACATAATGCTGCAATAACAGTGGCCTGCTAGCTTCATTATTTTAATGGTGTTAATGTGGGACTGTAGGTTTCATTATTGCTGACAATACTGTATTCTAATGTTTAATGTGTAGATATGAAATATTAATTTATTTACTGTAATTGAATCGTGGAGCAATGAGGTATACATAAACTTTTTAACGGTCTTGGGGCAAATGTCAAATTTTGTTTACAACTGTTGAATAGTACATTGCTTGTACTTTTAGTAATTCAACATGGTAATATTAAGTCTTTCTAAAATCAACGGTCGTAAAGCAGACAATTTACTATAATGCAATTTACTTACTGTAATACATTTGCTGTTGTCTTAAATTAAAACACAAATGGATTATTTAAATCTCATAAAAATAAATAGAAAATTAACTTACCAACTATTGCAGATACTGTATATTTTTTGTTTGTCATTGCAGCACATACCAGTCTACTTGCATGTTGGCTTTTTTAAAGATGCAAAATAGTCCTTTGAGACAAAATGTATCTAGTGCAACCTGAAAATAAAGAAAGTTCTTAAATTAGTAAA